CCCCAACACTCCTGGGCACCTGGCTTGGTGGGATGTTTTCCAATGGGAGTGAGTGACCAGAGGATAAAAATACCCCTGGGGAGGCACAGGCAGCAGGGCCTGGCTGAGGGTGCCCAGGGGAGCCACCTAAGGCATGGGGGTGGATCCCAGTCCCTGCTGTACTGGGAGCGCTGGAGATTCTGGGACTACTGGAATCACTGCAGGGGGACTGGGAGCACTGAAGGGATGCTGGGAGAACTCGAGGAGCACTGGGATACTGTGGTACTGGGAATACTGGGAGCACTGGAGTCACTGGGATCCTGGTGGCCCTGAAGGCTCTGGGAGCACTAGGAGAGTACTGGGGATATTTAGAGCACTGGGCTGTGGAGGTTACAAGAGGATTGGGAGCACTGGGGATCCTGGGAGCACTGGAGATGTACGGGGAATACTGGAGCCACTGCTGGAGTCACTGGGTGAACCGGTACCTTGGGATAGCTGGGGTACCGAGAGCACGGGGAGCACTGGGGTAATACTGGAGCACTAGGGTGCTGGAGGCAGAGCGGTCTGGGGAGCACTGGGAGCAGCACTGGGAACATCGGGAGAAGCACTGGAAGCAGCGGTACCGCCTGCGCACGCGCACCCCCTTCCCTACTCGAATATGGCGCCCCCGCACGCCCTTCCCAGCGCCGCCGGGGGGCGGGGCCGCGCCGTGGTCCGATCGCTGCCATTGGACACAGCCCGCCGGGCTCTTCCCCACTGACCAATGGTGAGGCGAGAACCTCCCGCAAGTGAAGGTGACGTGCATGGCGCGGGGGCGGGACCCGAGGCTGGCGGCGGTTCCCGGAGCGATGGCGGCGGAGCGGGCTCTGGCCATGGCCACCTGCACGGCCCCCGTGAACATCGCCGTCATCAAGTACTGTGAGTGCGGGGCTGGTCGGGCACGGGGCACCCGGGGCGGGACACTCGGCTGAGGGCGGGCCGGGTTCGGGGGCGCATGTGGCTCCTGCGTGGGAGGGTGCTCGGGGCACAGGTGCCGTGACGGGCCGCGCCATGTCATGTCCAGCTGTGCCGCGCCGTGCCGTGCTCTGCTATGCCAAGCCATACCGTGCTGTGCTATGTCATGCCGTGCTGTGTCCATGCTTTCCATGCCTTGCCATTCCTAGCCGTGCCGTGCCGTGCCATGCCAAGTGGTGCTGTGCCATACCATGCCATTCCCAGCCGTGCCATGCCTTGCTCTCTTACAGGGGGCAAGCGGGACACCGACCTCATCCTGCCCATCAACTCCTCCCTGAGTGTGACGCTGCACCAGGACCAAGTGAGTCTGGCTCGGGCTCAGGGTCAGTCCCTGCTGCCCTGCCATCCCGTGCCCGGCGGTTCTGAGCCCCCACCCTGTGTCCCCACAGCTCAAGACCACCACCACGGCCGCCGCCAGCCGGGACTTCACGGAGGACCGGCTGTGGCTCAACGGGACAGAGGTGGACGTGGGACAGCCGCGGGTCCAGGCCTGTCTGCGCGAGGGTGAGTGAGTGACACCCTCATTGCCCCCGGGACGGGGGGGTCCCTGATCCTGAGCCCTCCTCACTGCCCTTGTCCCCACAGTGCGGCGCCTGGCCCGGAAGCGCCGGGGGGGCTCCGAGGACGCGGCCACGCTCAGCCTCCTCTCCTACAAGGTCCACATTGCCTCCGAGAACAACTTCCCCACGGCCGCTGGGCTGGCCTCGTCTGCGGCCGGCTACGCCTGCCTGGGTGGGTGTGGGACGGGGCATGGGGGTGGCAGGAGTGTCCCCTCTGACCCTGTCCCCTCGTGCAGTACCGGGAAGGGATGGCAGAGGTGTCATCCCCTCCGACCTGTGCCCTGCCCATGGCTGTACGGGATGGAGGGCACTGGGAGCGGGTGACAGGAGTGTCTCCCCTCTGTCCCCCCACAGTGTCAGCTGTATGACATGGAAGGCACTGGGAGGGGGTGAAACCCCCTGTCCTGCTCTGACTTGTCCCCTTCTGCAGCTGTGTGGTGTAGAGGGCACTGAGAGGGGCTGACACTCTGTCATACCCCTCTGGCCTGTCCCCTGCTTGTGGCTGTATGGCATGCAGGTCACTGGGAGGGGGTGACGGGGTGTCCCCTCTGCCTGTCCTTGCAGTGTCAGCCCTGGCCCGGCTCTATGGCGTGGAGGACGAGCTGTCAGAGGTGGCCCGGCGGGGCTCGGGCAGCGCCTGCCGCAGCATGTGGGGGGGCTTCGTGCAGTGGCAGCGGGGGGAGCGGCCTGATGGCACCGACAGCCTGGCCCACCAAGTGGCCCCCGAGACACACTGGCCGGAGCTCAGGGTCCTTGTCCTGGTGGTGAGCAATGGGAGGGGGTATGGCCCTGCCCACCACCCCCAGATGAGTGGGGTTTGGGAGACCCCAGCCTGGGTGGATGCAGACCCCAGAGAACAGGGGGAGTTGTGTCCCACCATCTGTGCCCCCTCCAGGTCAGTGGGCAGAAGAAGCCAGTGGCGAGCACAGTGGGGATGCAGACCAGTGTGGAGACCAGCCCCTTGCTGAAGGTATGAGGGGACGGGCCTCATCCTGCTTGAGCAGGGCCAGGGTCTCTTTTCCCTTGGAATGGGGCTGGAGGGCATGAAGTGACACCCAAAGGGTTGCAATGCCGTGGGTATCACCAAATAGGGGTAACTGTGACCCACCTGCTGCAGGTGTTGCCAAATTGGGGTGACCACAACCCACCTGTCTCTGGTGTCACTGAATTGGGGTGGTGGTGACCTGTCTGCCACAGGTGTCACCAAATTAGGGTGACCACAACTAACCTGTTGTGGGTGTCACTGAATTGGGGTGGCCACGACCCACCTGCCGCGGGTGTCACCAAGCTGGGGTGACTGTCCCACGTGCCGTGGCAGCATCGGGCAGAGGTGGTGGTCCCGGAACGCCTGGCTCAGATGATGCGGCACATCCGGGAGCGGGACTTTGAGGGCTTTGGCCAGCTGGCCATGAGGGACAGCAACCAGTTCCATGCCACCTGCCTGGACACCTTCCCACCCATCTTCTACCTCAACGACCTCTCGCGCCACATCATCGCGCTGGCACATCGCTACAACGCCCACCACGGGCATACCAAGGTACCAACCGGGGCCCTGCATGTGCCGTGGCACTGTGGACCCTCCCCAGGCCTCCACGACCCCCCCCAATCCCACCACAGGTCGCCTACACCTTCGATGCCGGCCCCAACGCTGTGATCTTCGCGCTGGCCGACACCGTGGATGAGTTTGTGGAGGTGGTGAGGCGCAGCTTCCCCCCTGCCGCCAACGGGGACCAGTAAGGCAGCCTTGTCTCTTACTGGGGGGGCGGGATGGCAGGGGACTGCAGGGGACAGGGACTGAGCCCTTGCTGTGCCGCAGGTTCATCCGGGGGCTGCCCGTGGGCTCCGCTGCGCTGCCGCAGGAGCTGGTGACCGCCGTGGTCACTGAGCCAGTGCCGGGGGCTGTCCAGTACATCCTGCACACCAAGGTGAGGGGCTGTGGGTGCTGGGGGAGCATGGAGCCTCTGGTGAGACTCTGGCTCCATCTTGGACCCCCGGGGGGGTGGTGGGACCCCATTCAAGCCCCCAGGGGTGTGTGGAGAACCCCATCCCTACAGGGGTGTGTGGATTCCATTCCTCTCCCCAGGGGTGCATAGGATCCCATCCCCATAGGGTTGTGTGGGACCCTATCCTTGTCCCCAGGGGTGCACAGGACCCCAAACCCACCCCACACCCCATTCCCAAGGCTGTGTGTGGGACCCCATCCTTGTCCCTAGGGGTGTACAGGACCCCATCCCTGTCCCCATTCCCAGGTGGGTGTGCAGGACCCCATCCCCAGACATATTTCCTCTGGCACAACTCATGGGGTGGCCTTTTGGGGTCTGTGGGGCCCAGACCTGCCCCCCAGCCCTGAGCCGGGGGGTGATCCCTGTAGACAGCAGGGCTTCTTGGTGTCCCTAACCCTTGTCCTGCCCCACAGCCTGGCCCTGGTCCCCAACTCGTGGATGATCCCAGCCAGCACCTCCTGGGAGCAGATGGGTTGCCCCGACGCCGTGCTTGAGCCCCGGTGACGCCCCCAGGAACACCCCTGGGACAGCTGGGACATGCCAGGAAGGCTCTGCCAGTGCCACCCAGGGAGCTCAGGACCCTGAGCCAGGCCTGCTGTGCCCAGCCCTGGGGCAGGATGTGACCCTGGGGCTGGTTTTTACTCTTTTGTAAGGAAATAGAGAGTTCCTTGCTGTTGTTTTGGGGTGTCGGGCTCTGTGTGTGCTGCTGGGGGGGGCAGTGCCAGCCAAAATGAGGGGCTGGAGTGGGGATGGTTCCTCCTAATGGCTGTGCCTGGGGCTGATCCTGTCCCCCTGCACAGCCCCGTCTCCCCACCTGAGCCCTGTTCCCACCATGCCTATTGTGGGGCTGCTCCTGTCCCATATACCCCCCAGTTGTCTCTGCTGGGACTGATCCTGTCCCCCAACATGGCCCCTGTCCCTTGCACATCCCCTGTCCCTGCTGGCTCTGATTCTGTCCCCCTGCACAGCACCTGTCACCCTACACCGTCCCTGTCCCTTGCGTATCCCACATCCCCTGTCCCCTCCCTGTTCCTTGCATTACTGATGTTTTCCTTGGTCCCTCAGATGTCCCTTGGGGGGCATCTCCTGTCCCCTGTCCCAACAGTTGTTCCTGTTGGTGCTGATCCTGTCCCCCTACATAGCCCCTGTCCCTTGCAGGACTGATCCTGTCCCACATCCCTCAGGTGTCCTTGCTGGGGCTAATCCTGTTCCCTCATGTTCCTTGTGGGGCTGATCCTGTCCTGGACCAGACAGATCCTGTTCCCTCCCATGCCATCCTCATCAAGCCAGCATGTCCTGTGTCCCCCTGCGTCCCTTGAACTGATCCTGCCCCCCTGGACCAGACCGATCCTGTCCCCCCACACCATCCTCATCACCTGCCACGTCCCCTGTCCCCTCGGGGGCTGCGGGGGGGTCCTCGCCGGGGCGTGGCCAGTGTGGAAAGGGGCGTGGTCGAGGGAAAGGGGCGGGGTCAGTACTTGGTTAGATTGTGTGCGCCTTCCGGGTCGGGACCAGCCGAGCAGAGTTTAACCCGGGCCGAGCCTAACGGGGCCGGGACGCGCCGAACCCGCTAGGGCCGAGCCTAACGGGGCCGGGAGCAGCCAAACCCGCTCGGGTCGAGCCGAACGGAGCCAGGAATAGCGGAAGCCGCTCGGGCCGAGCCGATCCCCTGCGGGCCATGGGGCAGATCGAGTGGGCCATGTGGGCGAACGAGCAGGCGCTCGCCGCCGGCCTCAGTGAGTGTGCGGGGCCGAGAGGGGCCGGGAATGCCGGGGCCGGGCGGGGGATGGGGACCCGGGAGCTGGAGGGAAAGAGAGCCCGGCGGGCCTGGAGTGCTGAGCCCCGGGCGTGCTGAGCCCCGGGGTGCCCCCAGACGCGGCCCCGAGGGATGGGAGGATCTCAGTCCCGCCGACCAAACGCTGGGGGCTACCGGGGGGTGCAGGCGGGAGGCACCGGGACGGCTGGGAAGTCCCGTCCCAGCAGGGGATACGCAGGGCTGGGAACTCCGCTTCCTCCTTTTCTCTTCCTCCTCTGCCCTTTCTCGCTCGTCTCCTCCTTCTCTCTCCTCTCTTCCTCCGACCACGGGGCCAAAAACCTCCCCTAAGCCTGGAGCTCCCCAGGGGGTCCCGCACACCACATCTACCTGGTACCCCACTTGTCAAAGTCCCCGGGGCCATGGAGACCCCTATTTCCCTTCCCTCAGTCCAAGAAATCCTACATGTCAGGTCCTCAGGGATCCCCACGTCCCAGGTTTGGGGTATCTTATGTTGGGCATTTGTCTCCTGAGTTTGGAGGTCTGTATCCTGGGTTTGAGTGTTTGTATCCCGGGTTGGGGGTTTGTATCCCGAGATAGGGGATTGTATCCCGGGTTAGGGGTCCGAATCCTGCCCTGGGGGTCGTGTCACGGGCCGGACCCCTCCATCCCGTGCTGTCTCCGCAGTCCTGGTGACGGGCGGGATCGTGGCCGTGGCGGGGCAGTTCAAGGGCTGGTACTTCGCTGCGTACTCCATGTATCCTTCCCGAGAGCATTCCCGGGGAATGGGCGGCGGGAAAACACTGTCCCGATGGGGGTGGGAAGCACAAACAGGGGGGGTCACATCCTCCCCCTCCCCACACTGGTCCCAGATCGTGCTTTCCCTGCCTCAAACAGCCCCTTCTTGGGGTGAGGGTTGTGCCTTGGGACTATGATCCCCCCTTTCCTTGACCCCCTGGCAGCGCGGCAGGCGTCCTGGTCTGCCTGCTCGAGTATCCCAGGAGCAAGAGGAAAAAAGGTTCCACTATGGAGAGATGGTAAGTGGTGGGTTCCCCACCCTCACCCCTGGGATCGGGGTCCTCGTACCCCCCCAAACACAGGGATGTGGCAGCGGGGATGGGAGTGGTGGGGTGGGAGCAGAGCTGGATACTGTGTTCCTTGGGTGGTCCATGCAGGACAGTGTGGAGATGGGGGTCCCTGGGTGCCCCTGGGTGAGGACACCCTCTCTGACCCCTCATGTTGCTCTGCAGTGGCCAGAAGTACATGACAGCTGTGGTGAAGTTGTTTGGGCCCCTGACCAGGAATTACTACATCCGAGCCATCCTTCACGCCGCGTAAGTGGGATACGGGCTCAGGGATGGGGTCCAGGCCCCCCTGGCGCCCCCCTGAACCCCGAATCTCTCCCCCAGCCTGGCCGTCCCTGCCGGTTTCCTCCTCTCCACCATCCTGGGCACCGTCTGCCTGGGCATCGCCAGCGGCATCTACCTGCTGGTGAGTGCAGGGAGGGTTTTCGGGGATGCTTTGAGGGGGGGCTGGGAGGAGAACGAGACCCCCCTTGACACCCCCATGGCTTCACAGGCCGCGGTGCGTGGGGAGGAGTGGAGACCCATCGAGCAGAAGCCCCGGGAGCGACCGCAAGTGGGGGGCACCATCAAGCAGCCCCCCAGCAACCCCCCGCCCCGACCCCCTGCAGACGCCCGCAAGAAGCAGCCGATGGAGGTGGGGGGGCAGGTGAACCCCATCCCTGTGGAGGCTGAGTAACAGGGGGATCCTCCTGCCCTGCTCTGCTGCTCCTGCTCCCGCTTCCCAGCTGCTTCCCAGATTCACTATGGGAAACAGGGGGCCCAGCTCCAGGAGATTCCCAAGGCCCTGGGGCTGCTCAGCTCATCCCCAGCTCCTGGTGATGCTCAGATCCCTGAGGATCATCAGTTCCCCCTGGGCTCCCCAGCTATCCAAAGGATTCCCAAATCCCCAGGGATGCTTAGATCCCTGTGGGATCTCCAGGCCCCAGGGGCTCTCCAACGTCTTGAGATCCCCAAATCTCTGGAAATGCTCAGCTTTTCAGGTGTGTCTCCAGCTTCCAGGGCTCCTTAAATTCCCAGTTATATGATGGTCCCTGTGGGATCTTCAGTCCCCAGGGGTTCCCCAACCTCTGGAGATTCACAAATTCCTGGGATGCTCAGCTTCCTGTGAGGTCTGCAGCCCCTAAGGGCTTCCCAGCTTCTGAGGATCCCCAAAGCCCTGGACATGTTCAGCTCCCTGAGGGTGTCCCAACTCTCCAAGCAGCTCCCAGTTCCCTGGGGTATCCCCAAATCCCTGTGAAACACCAGCTCTCAGGGACCCTCAGCCCCAGGGGAGGTCAG